TCGGCGCGTGGAATGCCCTGTTCGTTTCTTCTCTGTTCCATCTGAGGCCGTCCTGACTGACGGGTCAGAAACGACGCCCTCTCCAGAAAGACGTCGAGGGAAGTCCCGTCCCTCTCCTTCCCGCCGGGGAGGGGGGGGGTCCCCATGGGGAATCCCGGGTCAGATACGCTTCCCCCCCGGGCGGTTCTGCACACGTCGAAAGAAGTCCCTTCCCTTCCCTTCCCGCCGGGGAAAAGGAGGGGTCCCGGGGAAGTCCCGGGGTCAGATCGATGCAGCCCCAGCTTCCGGCCTCGGCCTCGGCCACTCCCGGCCCCAGCCCTGGCCCCGGTCCCGGCCGGCCCCGGCTCCCGCCCCGGCCCCAACCCTGGACCGTCCCGGCCTCGGCCCCGATCCCGACCCTGGCCCTGGCCCTGGCCCCCGGCCCGCCCAGCCCCGGCCCAGGCCCCCGCCCCAGCGCCCTCCAGATCTACACTCCGTGGCCTCCCAGATGCCCAAGATGCTGAACCTAGCTAAACAGCAAACGGAGCCAGGAAGTCGCCCCAGGAGGCTCCAAGACGCCCCGAATGGTTCTGACAGGCAGCCGGCGTCGTCGTCAACATCGTCAACATCCTCGCCATTATCTTCCTCCTTCGCCTCCCCAACGTCAGGGTCGGCGGCACCGGCCGCAAGGCCTTCGCAATGAAAAAATAATCCGAATATGCACCAAAATGAACAGAAAAATATGAAAAATCGTCCCCGGACTATTCTTCACTATTTTTGAATATTTCTCGTGTACGGGGACAGGCCCGCCTTAAGGCCAGGGATCCGTGGAGCCGGCGCGAGGGCGCCAGAGCTATGGGTCGGGAAGGTACCCCCCGACACACCAGGCCAGTGCCGCCTCATGTGGCGACGGCGCGCGCCTATTTTTAGCTCGGGCGCGTCCTCCTACAGGCGGATCTTCGACTTTTGTTGGGGGTAATTGGGTTATATGTGTATATCTGTTTTGTTTTCGAACAAGGTAGCCAAACAATCTTCGAAAATCAGATTCAGAAATAGCAAGGGCAAAAAGTCGTCCCCTGACTACTGTTGGACTGTTGTTGAATACTCCTCCTGTGGAGGGACAGACATGCCCGACTTAAGCCTACTTCTGGCACGGAAGAGGGACCCGTTGCTAATCGACGCTGCCTGAATGAGTACCGTTTAACCGATCCCCATCCCCAGCGGCGTGGCCTGGGCCCCACTGGCCGATTTTACCCCCCCCCAGATGGGGATACAGGCCGTTTCCTTCGGGCTTCGAGGGGCGTATCCCCAACTGGGGTGGTAATTTGGTGCGGGACCCAAAGGGGATGGGGATGGGGATTTGGTCAAACGATAATTTGATAATTTGACGGGGATGAGTAATTTGATAAAGGTAACTTGATAATTTGATGGACAAGTTGATGATTTGGTCTCGAAGGTAATTTGGTAATTTGATGGAGATGGGGACGGGCATCGGTCAAAAGATACCGACCGAATCCATGCCAGCGCTTCTCGGGTCGGGCGAAAAGGGGGGATAGCAAAGGGGGGGTTTGAGAATCAGCTCACGTAGCTGATTTTCCCGGCGCCTCCCGGCGCCGGAGGCGGCCATGTATCGAGGAATGGGCCCCTCGGTGAGGCCGAAACCAGCTGCATGCAGCAAATTTCGTAACCCCCCCTTTCCCAATCCCCCCCTTTCGCCCGACCCGAGCTTCCTCGACGGCGTGAGGTCGGCAGAGAGGCCGCCGCGCCCCTCCGCCAACCCCCCCCAGACGTCCGACGCCCCGACTTTCTCGAGACGCGGGCCCCCGACCTCGCCGCTGTCGCCTGACGCGCCTGCTCCCTCGCCTCCTACTCCTCCTCCTCCTCCTTCTCCTCCTCTCCTCCTCCTCCTACTCCCTCCCTCCTCCTCCTCCCTCCCTCCTCCTCCTCCTCCTACTCCTCTTCCTCCTCCTCTTCCTCCTGATCTCCTCCTCCTCCTCCTCCTCCTCCTCCTCCTCCTCTACTCCTCCTCCTCCTACTCCTCTTCCTCCTGATCTCCCTCTCCCCCCGACGTCTCGATTTTTTCGAGACCACTTCCCTGGGACCGGCTCCTCCTCCCGAGCCGTGTTGTTGACGGCCCCGAGGCCCGGCAAAGGCCCCGAGAGGCCGGAAACTGCGAGAAACCTCCGTCTCGATTTTCTCGAGGCGCCCGATCTCTGGGCCCCCCCCCCCCTCGGGCACCCGCGGGCGGCCGCCGCGGGCCCCAGGGCCCGCTCGCCCACGGCGTGAGGTCCACGAAGCTGCCCGCGAGCGCGGGCCGCTCGCCTGGCGGGGGGGATGCCGAGGAGCGAACGAACGGAGGAGGAGGAGGAGGAGGAGGAGGAGGAGGAGGAGGAGGAGGAGGAGGAGGAGGAGGAGGAGGAGGAGGAGGAGGAGGAGGAGGAGGAGGAGGAGAGGAGGAGCGAGGAGGAGGAGGAGGAGGAGGAGGAGGAGGAGGAGGAGGAGGAGGAGGAGGAGCGAGGAGGAGCGAGGAGGAGCGAGGAGGAGGAGCAAGGAGGAGCGAGGAGGAGCGAGGAGGAGCGAGGAGGAGCGAGTGGGGGGCGGCGAGAACTGTGGGCGCTGCTCCGCGGAGGGACCCCCCCCCGCGGAGCAGAGGGGGGGGAGGCCACGTGTCGCCCACGCACTCTGGGAGGCCGGGACTCGGGACAGAGACGCAGACCAGGGCCGGCGCACGGGCGACGCTCGGGCGACGCACTGAACGAAGCTTAAGGGGGGGGGTGGTCGCATGACTGGGCCTTAACAGGGGGGGGGACGCGCAAGCATCACGAGGAAGGAGGGGGGCTCACAATATCCGGCCTCCCAGGGGCCCTCACCGGCCCCCGGTACCGTGAGGGATGAGAAGCCGATCCCGGGGAGTGGGTCCAGACTTCTGCGAGTCGACGTCATGCAAGAATTATGATCGGCGGTCGGAAGTGGGGGGGCGATAAAAAAGGGGGGAAACGTACACCTTCCGTGCCTCTTTTGGGCCCCATGGGGGCCCCTTTTCGGCCCCTCCAGGCCACAAGGGTGCACCCGGCCCCACTCATCGCCCCCCCCCCATTCGAGAAAGACCAAAGCTGCCGTCGCCATGAAGCTGGAGTCCCTACAAGGGAGGCAGGCGCGCTGGTCGCGCACAGGCCTTCTACCCTTCTACGAAGGCCACTAGACGTGGAATTGTGTCAGACTCTGCGGAGACACGAAACGTCTGCACGAGAAGTCGCGCGGAAATCGCGAGGAGTGCTGCAGCAAATCTTGCCCACTTCCCTGCCAGACAATCACCTGGCGGGGGGAGGGAGCCCCAACGGGAGCCAAACTCGGCCCGGGAGGTCTTGACTCGGGGATGGACAGACCTCCCTTTAGTAAAACGTGGTTTCGTGAAAACGACCTCGGGCCCAAACCTGGCGGGCGCAAGCCTGGAAAACGACGGCCGCGGCGCCCTCTCGAGAACCGAAAACGGACAACTCACTAGTCGACGTGTCAGGGTACGTAGGAGGTCTGTCCGTCCCCGATTGACCTCCTCCCCCGAAGAAGAACACACTGCGTAAGCATAGCCCTTCGGAGTTCCGCGCGGAGGCCTTGGATCGATGGGCCCGCCCCGCGGCACTCGCTCCCTGGCCGCTGTCCTCCTCCTTACTGCGCTGGGCAAATTTGGATCGAGTGCCTCCTCCTCCTCCTCCTCCTGCTCCTCCTCCTCCTTTCCTTCTCCTCCTCCTCCTCCTCCTCCTCCTCCTCCTCCATTCCTTCTCCTTATGGGTAACTCCTCCCTGTCGCACTCCGAGGCCAGTTTTTAGGGCGTGCCGGGCGCTTCGCCTGAGAATTCCTCACCAGTTATGACTCTGAAGCTTTAAAAGTGGCAACAGCTTCACAGATGGAGGGCGGGTCGCTTTCAAAATATGGCTCTCGCCTTAGAGCCGCGCGCATTCGTTTAAAAATTTGCAAGGAGTTTCACGGCTTGAGGGCGGGTGGTTCTCAAAATGTGGCTCTCGCCTTAGCGCCGCGCACATTCGTGTTAAACATTTCCCTGAGCTTCACGGATTGAGGTCGGCTCGCTTTTGGAATGTGGCTCTCGCCTTAGCGCCGCGCACATTCGTGTTAAAACTTTGCAAGTGTTTCACGGAAGAGGGCAGGTGGTTTTCAAAATGTGGCTCTCATTTGCAAGACTTTCACGGATTGAGGTCGGGTCGTTTTCAAAATGTGGCTCTCGCCCTAGCGCAGCGAACATTGATTTCAAAAATTTGCAACAGCTTCACGGATTTAGGGCGGCTCCTTTTCAAAGTGTGACTCCCGCTTTAGCGCCGCGCTCATTCGTTTTAAAATTTGCAAGAGTTTCACGGACTCCCATGATCAGCGCACCAGAAATGGCGTGCTGGAAGGATTCAGGAACATGTGGGCGCAACAGTTATGCTGATTCGCTGTGTTGAAGTCCCACCAAAGGCGTCCTGACACGATTCTACATCGTCAAGACGCAGCAGTCACGATGATACGTGGCGTTGAAATCCCGAGAACAGTGTTTGGGCACGCTTCAGGATGCTCAAACTGTTGTCTTCCAACGGGGAAGTTCCCTCAATGGACATGAACCGTTGTAGGGGCCTATGAAGAGGGAGCTTGGAGTGAGTTTTAATTCTAACATCGTTGATGACTCTTGGGTTTCCACTGGTCCTCCTCCTCCCCCTCTTTTTCCAGATCCCCTGCTCGTCACTGCTCCTCCCTGCTCCCTGACCTGTCCCTCCCTACATCGGCTCATTCCACCGGCCTCCCTGAGGCGGCGTCCTCCAGGGCATGGCGAGAAGCTTTTGTTCGAGATCAACCAGGGCAGCCCTCCAGACACGTCGAGAAACACTGGTTACGAAAATGAGGCCCGTGCTGCGAAAATGTTCGGCTCCTGAGCGCGCAAGCATGCGTTCACTGCAGCACGAAAGAACGGTCTACACAAACCCTGAAGACTTGAAGATGGCCCGGTAATACCTTCAGCGCGTGCACTTGCTTCATGAGGTATGGCGGCCAGTTTTCTTACATTCGAAATTCTTCCGACCTCCGCGTGACTTGTGGGCAAACATCTTCGCTGCCTTCTCTTTCTTGGGCTCCTTCACCACCTGCACGCCTTCTTCCTGACGCAAGTGCGCAAAGGCCGCAAAGTGGATGCTACTGTAGTTCCCGCGGCCTTTAGTTGCGAAGGCCTGTGCAAGCACCACCTTGTCATTAACCATTGCCAAACTGCAAGAGCAGACTGTGCTGCTCTGAATGCGCCTGATGCACGTGCGGCTCAAACCATGCCACTGCACCAAACTGCCGCCAACGTGGCACGACATGACTAGTTCGAAAAAGCTAGACAAAGAAATAACCCCTCCGGAATGATCTGGCATTTCGGACACTCCGTCGAAGCACAGCTTCGAGCCAACCATCGACCACCACACCACAACAGCGTGCTTGGTGCTGGAAGTGACAACACGGGGGCGTTCGTCTCGCGGCCCTTCCCAGGCGCACATGCTGCACTGGGCAGATACCTGAGATTCACCGTGCGTCGCTGGCTTGTCAACGCAGACGTCACCGTCCTCCAGACCACACCGGCACTGCAGAGGAGCCACACCCTGCCTCAGGCCGTCGCCTTCCCACAGCCACACACGGTCGTGGGCGGTGCAGAGCAGAACGCAGTCGGCAGCTCCCGAGCGAAGCACGCGCGACGCTGGGCCCAGCAAGCCAGCGCTGACTGAACTGAGCTTACTTATCGCACTTTCGCCACCAAGGGCGGACAGGAACTCCAAGGTACCATCCGCTCGTGCAGCCAGTACCCCGTCGGAGCCCCAAGCTGTGAGGCTGGTGACGGCAGCAGGGGCCGACTGACGGAGTATCTTTATCCGACACCGTGCCTTCAGCACGCTCGGACGCAACATAATGCCTTTTGAGAGGTCTGGTAGGGCGTGCGCCCGTTTCCCCTAACGGTGTCCCGACAGCCCTTTGGCAGATTGAGGTCCAACGACTTGTTTCCTCTTCCAGAAAAACCTCTCCGAAGCTTTCCCCCCCTCTCCCAGGGTTTCCGGGGCAGGCTGCGATCGGTTCCAGCGCCCAAGATGGTTCCAAGAACCTCCGATGATCCAAGATGGCCTCGTTGATCGCTCAGAACAGCAGACGATTTCGCAAGATTGCTTCCGGCATACCGCCAAGAGGCCCAGCGAGGGCCCCAAGACGGTTCCAAATGCTCTTGGAGCCCTCTCAGGACCTCCCCAATGGTTACATTCTTTTCAAAACCTACAAAATCGCCGACCCGTCGGCGTGTGTGAAACACTTTTCCCGTTTTCGTCATCGTCGTCGCCAGCCCCCATGGAAATTGAAAAACAAGGCGCAATAACTTCGCAGGATCGTGGTCGGCGTCCTGCGCGGCCTCCAGAGCTTACGCGTTTACAAGAAAAGGTGCGAGGCTTAGCCTCGAGGGTTCGTGCCTGTGCTGGGCGAGACCGCTCAGAGCTTGCCGAGCTCCGCCGGCGTATCAACGTGCTGCGCAGGCAGTATCGACGTGAACGCCTGGAGTGGGAGAGCAAGCCACCGCGGGGACACAGCCTCTTCGAGGACTGGCCTCGTGGCACTGCCAACCTAGCTGCACTACCGGAGCAGGAGGAAAGAACGGAATCTGCAGGGGAAGGAGGGGGAAGGGCAAAAAGCTAACGCGGCGGCAGGGGCGGCCCGGCTGGGGAAGAGGGGGGACTGGGGGCAGGGGCCGCGGGCAAGGGTAGTTATAATGGGCGTGGTGGCGGCGGTGGCCGTCGTGGTGTTTGTGGTCGCGCCGGCGGTCACGCTAGTGGCGGTCAATCGTGGTGATGTCGCGTTAGTCGTCGTACTGGCGGTGGTCGCGGAAGTCGTGGTCGACGTGGTTGTCGTGGCGAGGTTCGTGGCCGCTGGTGGCGATCGTGGTCGCCAGGGCGGTGGTGCGGCCGCTGGGGGTACTCACTGTGGTCCAGACGGTGGCGTTGGTCGTGGAGGCTGCGGTGGCGGCTGCGGGGGGCTGGCGGCTCAGCGCCCGAGCGCACTCAGCAGCATCTCAACAGCACCCCCTTGGAGGATTTTGCTAATTTGCCGCCAAAGGCCGCCCAGCAGCTCGGAGCGCTTGCCGTCGTCGAAGCCCGCAGTGTAGCTGCGGACAAAGCTGGCAACCTCGTCGCTGGGCCTGCCCTCAGCCTCGAAGACTAAGGGGGCCAACTCGCCCTCGTGCGGGGGGAACCGCTCCCGCTTCTTGTCCACCGCCTGCGCGACCGCCAAACCATCCGTTGGCCCGGGCGCCCCTGCGTGCAGCATAGGTTGAGTGCACGCAGGTGGTGCTCCAGTCGACGTAGACGTGGCGCCAACTGGCTGGGGCGTTGGTGGAGAGGTCAAGAACAGCTTGATGGAGCACCCCCGCGCGGGGCGTCGACGATCCCAGGCGGAACCAGCCTGTTCCGCGGGCGCCGCGAAGTTTGTGAACTCGGCGTGTTGCGCGGTGTGCCAGTGGCAGCAGCCGCTGTGGCGCTTATCGCGGGACTCGCACACCTCGCTCTTGACCGCGTGCCAGCCGTGCGGGCGGAGATGATCGTCGCACAAACTGCCGTCCTGGCGGCGCCGCTGGCAGAGGGGGCCCGGGGGCAGACCGGGACGCAGAGTCGCCGCTTCAGGTTGCCCTCGAACTGCGCGTTTGTTTGGCTAGCGGGGGCCGCCCGGCTGGCACAAGAGGAGCCCGCTGCGGGCGCCTGAGCCTCCTTTTTTCCGCAAGCGGAGGCGGCGGTCCTCGTCGAGCACACAGAACAGGTTCTCCCTGCGAGCCGCGAAAGCCACCTTGCCCCAGTGACTCTGCAGCTTCAGCTGAGGTTCAGCAGTGCACCCCATCCAGTCAACGGGCGACGGGTCTGCTGATCGGAAGGCCGCCTCCGCCTGGCCGAACGTCTGCTGTGTCCGCGGGCAACGGGCTCGGAATTCCTCCAGCGAGCTGGATCCGAGGCAGACCGTCACGGCCTGGAGCACGAGGGCCCAGCTGGCAGCGTAGACGGCGGGCGCCGTCCAGGTAACCGAAGGGAAGGCGTATCCACCGTCGGCAAGGCGCAGCGTGGCCAGGAGGCGCTATTGAACGTCCAAGGTTCCGCCGGCAAGCTGCTCGGGGCAGCCAAAGAGAACAGGGTCCAGCTGCTCCGTCCACTCCCCCTGCAGGTTGGCGCGGAGGTAGTGCGTGAAGCCTCCGTGGGCGAAACCCTGAGAAGGGTGAAGGCGCTCTCGGCCCCGCGGCCCGCCTGTCGCAGCTTTTGCAGGTGGATGGCAAAGGCCGTTGCCCTGGCCTCGGCGGTGGCCCCGTACAAGCTGCCGTGGGTCGCCACCCATTTTTCACCCTCCTCCCGCCTCGCGCCCATGTTTGAGCCGGGGGGCAGCGTTTCCCGAACACGTGAGGTGGTCCACCCAGCGCTCCTGGACAACGGCAGGCAAGTAGCCGTGCCCTCCAGAGACCACACCTGGGTCTTGGTCTGGTTGACTGCGAGGCCGTGTCGCGCGAGGGTGTCCGTCACGACCTGCAAGGCTGCGCCCGCGTGCTCTGGCGGGACGAAGACCATTGATGGGCCTGTTTTCCACCACCACCACCATAAGTTGGATGGGGAAAAAAGAGGAGGAGGAGGAGGAGGAGGAGGAGGAGGAAGATGAGGAGGAGGAGGAGGAGGCGGACGAGAAGGACGGGGTGGAGGAGCAGGAGGAGGAGGACCCCCTCCCCCTCCAGCTTCTGGTGGTTGTGGTGGAAAACAAGCCCATCAACATTGATGTAGTCGAGGCAGCTGAAAAACCCTGCAAGAAGTCGAGGGAGGCTGGAGGCGCGCGCCGGCACCGTCGAGCGCGTCCGCAATACCAATTGCGACAAGTGCTGGCGATAGCAGGCGCCCCTGGTCCACGCCGCTGCTAGCCCCAATGCGGTGGGCGTCGTCTGCAAACTCGTCCCCCCTGTGCTGGCGATAGCGGGCACCCCTGGTCCACGCCGCTGCTAGCCCGAATGCGGTGGGCGCCGTCTGCAGGGTCGTCCCGCCGCGTGGCTCCCGGGGAACCGACCGCGGGTGCTCCAGAACAGCCGCGGGGCCCGCCGGCGCATGCTGTCCCGCACCATGCCGCACGGGCTCTCGACTGAACGTCAGGCCCACGGGGCGTTCGTATGTCAGAGAGTGGTTCCCACAGTGAGAAGGAACGCCTGCAGGGACGGGAGGATCTATGGAGCATCGTTGACGCATCAATCGAGGTTTAATGTGTTCAGCCTCCTTCTGCTCGTCCCCCTCCCGGGCGTCGGAGCAGTCGAATGTCATGGCGGCTCCCCTCCCTCCCCTCCTGACACTCCCCCCATCCGATCTCCTCCACCCTCTCTCTCATCCCTCCTGCCTTTCCGAACTGACGAGGGACTCAGAGTTCTCATCCTCGTCCCTGGCCCCCTGCACCACGTCACCGTTCATCCTCCTTCCTCCTCCCTCCTCCTTCCCATCCTACCTCCGGTGCTCCCTCCTCCCACGAGGCCCAATACATTTCCATGCTGCACTGACACGGCGGCGGGATTTGCGAAAAGGCAGCTGGATATCTGTGAGATCGTCCCGCGTAACCATCGTAAGGCCTCCATTCGCATCCCCCAGAACAACCGCCTGCCCTGCAACCAGACACGCGCACCTGATCGAATTATCCTTCCCAACCCTCTTGGCCTGAGATGTGCCAAGGAGCTGGCCAGTGGTAAGAAGATAACATCGCAACACGCCGCTATGAGAGGAACAAAAGAAAACATCAACATACACTTTTGCCGTTCCGCGCGGATTCCTTCGATCTGCGCTGGACCCCCTGTCCCTGGCGCGCGGAGCGCACCTGGGGCGGCACCAGAGGCGCCGCCAGGGGGTCCGTCCCAGCGCAGAAAGAACTCCGCTCGGAACGCCAAAAGTTTATGCGAATGCCGTCTTCTCTCCTTCGAGCTATCAAACGCACAAAACGCGGTGCCCTCGTCGAGGAGCAGAGCCACACAGGCCCCGGCCGCCTCCGCGGCTGCCGCGGCGCATCGGCCGCCGGGGTCCCGGGCAGCCCGTGACGCTCTGGCGGCCACGGCTGTAAGCAGTTGCGCTGCCGAGGCCACACGTCTCGAGTAGGGGATCGACTGCAGTATTGACGTACTCCACTGACTACCTCCCAGACCACCCCAACCCAACCCGAAGACCCGAATTTCGGGTTGGGGGGGGTACGGGTTCCATTTGTGTTTTCTCAATGTTCCCCGACCCCCACCACTGGAAATGGAGGTCAAATTGAGGCCTTCGGGTTGGGTTGGGGTGGTTTGGTGAGTGGTGACCCACAGTTGGCTTGTTCGCCGCATCCATGAGCAATGCGTAGACTGTTCGTAGATCTACGAGCATACCACGTAGGGCTCGACGAGAAAGTCAATACTGGGCTGACGCAACTTTGCAATCAGTCGATCCCCTGCTCGAATGTCCCAGCTCTGTGGCGGTGCATCCAGGGGATCTGAAGCCCGTCAGCTCGTAGTAGATCTCCTCCCGCAAGCGCAGCGCAGCCCCTGAGTCTCTCCAGTCTCGGCAGGCTGCTGTGGCCCTCCAGGATGAGAACATCCCTGCGCACTCCAGCACGCGCACTGCAGCTTCGGACTCCAGGCTGGCAAAGAGCATGTTTCCGACCTCGACCTCCTCCTCGGAAGCACCCTGCACCGACGCGCGGTTCAAGAAGCGCCTCGCGACAGCCGGGTCCTCGTAGTCGAAGACGGCTTCCTGGCCAAACACGATGAACCCTACGGGTGGGGAGCCCGAGGATCCGGCGACGACCGAGTTCGGCTCGGCCCTGATCAGTGGGGGCATGGACGCGCCACGTGCGGCGCGGAGGCCGCAGCCCACAAGGGTCAGGGTGTGCGCATGTCTGCAGCGCTCCCCGTAGGAACAGCAGCCCGCACGCAGCCACTGCCGGCACAGTGCTTGGCCGTCCACCGACTCGTCGAGCAACCAGACGGCCACCGCTTCACCACTGTCGCCACACGACGCAAGCTGGAGGACCTGCAGCGCACTTGTGCGTTGGGCTTCGCTCATGACCAAGAGTCTGGAAGACGGTGAAATTTGATGTAAACTGGAGCCTAAACGGCTTGCGCCAAAATAGCTACTGACCGGTCGAGGCATGGAAGGACGGAGAAAGAGGAGCCAACCCCATCCTGTCAGTCACAGACCGTGCCCCGAGCTCCAAGTCTATCAGTAGAAAAAAGCTGTAGGCAAAAGGGATGGACGAGGTGAGGGGCAACGCCGCAAAGGCGACGGGCCAAGACGCACTGACGTGAAACTCGCCGTACGCGTGGAAGGTGAGGAGGAGGAGGAAAAAGAGGAGGGGGGGGGTCCTCCTCCTCCTCCTCCTCCTCCTCCTCCTCCTCCTCCTCCTCCTCCTCCTCCTCCTCCTCCTCCTCCTCCTCCCTTCGTCATCCCATCCTTTTCCACATGATGCGCCTCCCCCTCAAAAAGAAAATAACGAGATGAGGAAAGCAGGAGGAGGAAGAGGAGCAAAAAGCTCCTCCTCCTCTTCCTCAGGAGGAGGAGGAGGAGGAGGAGGAGGAGGAGGAGGAGGAGGAGGACGAGGCGGAGGAGGACAGGTCAGGACAGGACAGGACAGGACAGGACAGGCGCCGATGTGCGCCCCGGGGGGCGGCCCTCGAAAAGCTCGGCGGGGGCGCTGGAGGGCCGAAACTCAGATGTCGTAGCGCATGTTTACTTTACGATCTCGAGTGTAATGATTTGTTCCACTATTACAATCCATTCCATGAAATTGAACATGCAACGTCGTGAAAAGAAGGGGCGCGTTTGACTCACATACGTTCGTGCGAACCCCATCACCTCGGCCATAGTTTCTGTAAGTTGTACATCAATTCCAATAACTCGTCTGTCTTGCTCAGCGGGTCTCCAATTCCATTGTGAAATTTGCCGCACACAATCCACCAGAGACAATATCGACACGTGAACTCATAAACTGCTCCACTTCAACCCTCGATATGTTCATGCTGTTTGGGTTGGGGCATGTTGATGTTCATTCCACAAGTTGGTTCCCGAACGTATCCAGCACCAAACCAATGTAACCTGTATCGTCCTTCGCATCGGTGAACAAATCGAATGGTGTCCGAATACTCGAGATTAGACCGTCAATGTTGGTCTCCGCTTCTCTGATCGTTTCATATTCACTAGATACGCGACCCACCTCGCTAGAGGGGGCAACGTTTCGACCAACTTCGCAACTCCTGGCATTATCACGCGCGCTTGGCATGGCAACTTGGGATTTCCGACAACTTTTCCACGACGTACTCCAATTTAGGCACCTCAACATACCAAGTTGCCCCTTGCATTACTACGATAGGTTCCATTGGAACAGGGTGCTGACAGTATCGATTGGCCTGCATTTCTGCACACAAAGTGTGGGACTCGATGTCGCCCAGCCGGCGGATGATATCAAACTGGTCATCCCATACCGCGTCAAATGTTTATACGATCGTTTCTGCGAGCTTTCTGCGTTCCCGTCGCGGGTCTGGTCTGTATTGCCATCGGCTTTCCAAACATACATATTTGCTGCTCGGCGCTTCAGCCCATTGCTTTTGGCCCGTGCCATGGCGCAGATGCAGTGAATGAAGGGGATGTTTGTTGACTGCTTGGGGGCTGGGAGTATGGTTGAGGAGGAGGAGGAGGAGGAGGAGGAGGAGGAGGAGGAGGAGGAGGAGGAGGACCCCCCCCCCTGTTGACGCCACGGGCGCAAAATTCGCCCCGTGTGTTGCCCAAGAGAGGAAGCACCGCTGACCATGCCATGCTGAAAACAGCGGGTGCCTTCCGTGCGCGCCCAAGTCCTCAGGGAACCTTCCGTGCACACAATGCTGCATCAATTCGACATACGCACGTTCACATAATATCTGGGGGCACGTGAAAGAGGAACATCAGAACGAACCTGCCATATCTGGGTACGCGACAAAACGAACTTACATAACAAATCTGCATTTGCATCCAGCAAATGCACCAATTGAGATCATACCAGCTGATATGCTGCAAGTGGCGCCGCTTCCACACTGAAAAGAAGGGGTTCCACGGACGAGCACTGGCGCCAGGGAAAAGGAGGAAGACGGCAGAAACTGTTCCTCTCATACCTAACAACCCCTGCTCCTCCCCACGTTCCCCTCTACAATTGAACTGTTCACTCCTCCCGCCTTCCTCCGCCGCCCGTTTTTACCGCATCCCCCTCTTCAAATTGCTCTCTGCTTCATGCTCCGTTCTCCGAATTCCTCCTCCTCATCCTTTGTTCCTCGTGGGGCTGACGGCGACGGATGCGACGATGGGACGATCGATGAGCGATGCTGCGGTGCGAACCCTGATCGCGACTCCGCTTCAAAAGCTGCCCCCCTATGGGCCCAGTGACCTTGCAGAGCCCACGGTCGAGACGATATCAAACTGGCCCAGAAAGACATGCAGACAAGGACAGGCACAAATATTCACTGCGTGGAGCTCCCCATGAAGCACGGAGCACGAAGCACGTTCGCACTTGGGCACCGTCTAGAGTGCTGCGGGTGCGGCGCTGGAGCGCCAGAGCGTCAGAAAGCAAAGCCTGTTCAGATGTTGCGCGTGAAACTGGAGATCATGCCCTTGAGGCTGGAAGTCGAAAGCTGCGGGATTGCTGTGAGTCTGAAGCTGAAGGCTGTGGGAACGGCCGTAGGATGCGAGAGGTGGAGGTCGAAAGCTGGAGGTGGAAGGTTGGATGTTGTCAGCGGTCGGTGGATGGCGGGAGCCCGACGTTGGACCTTCAATGCCGGTCAGTGGGGCGGAAGTCGACAGATGGAGGTCTAAAGCTGGAAAAGAAAAATTTGGAAGTCGGCAACTGCGGGTGGATGGTGGAAGTCGGAAATTGGACGCTGGATACCAGTAGCGCGAAGTGGGAAATCGATAGGTGGAGGTCGAAAGCTGGAGGTTGAAGATTGGGAATCGACGGCGACTGGTGCATGGTAGGAGTCGGGTGGAAAATTAACAGGTGAAGGCCGAAAGCTAGAAATGGGACTTTGGATGTCATCAACTGTTGGAGTATGGCGGAAGTCGGAAGTTGGACGCTGAATGCCGGTCAGGTAGAGTGGGAAGTCGATAGGTGGAGGTTGAAAACTGGAGGTGGAATAATGGGAATCGAGAGCTGCTGGGCCGGTCGGGGTCGGGAATTGCAGCTGGCGGTCAGTCAAATGAGGTGGGAAGTCGACAGGTGGAGGTCGAAAGCTGGACGTGGAAGATTGGGAATCGACATCGGTTGGTGAACGGCGGACGTCGGAAGTTGCAAGCTGGAGGTCGGTCGGACGGGGTGGAAAGTCGATAGGTGGAGGTCGAAAGCTGGAGGTGAAAGAGTAGGAGTCGACAGCTGATGGATGATGGTGGGAGTCGGAGCTTGGAAGGTGGAGGTCGGTTATGTGAGGTGGAAACTCGAAAGGTGGAGGTCGAAAACAGGAGGTGGGAGATTGGGGAACGACTGCTGATGGTGGATGGTGGGGGTAGGGAACTGGAGGCTGGAGGTTGGTCAAGCGATGTTGAAGCTGGTCGCCGGCAACCAGTGTGAAAGTCGGGAGCTGAAGCGGAAGGCCGTCTGGGGCGCTGCGGGCGCGGCGTCGGAGCGCCGGAAGGTCAGAGATCGTGCTCGATCTTGCTCCAAAGTTCTGTTGCAGCACCATCCGATATATCCATGAACCCATTACTGGCCATCGCTCGGACGTCCCTTCCATGTTTTTTTGTTCGGTTTCGTTCGTTGTTTTTTTGGTGTGCCAAATGATCAAGGATGCTCCTCGATGGTCCTCGCCGAAGGAAAAATGCACACGTCCGAGCGATGCCAAGATTACCCATGTGACTCTTTGCGTGGCTTCGGACGTCGTCGATCCATCTAATTTTCGGGCGCCCCTGTTTCCGCTTTGCTTGATATGCCGGGTCCTACTGCGGCGTCCACTGGATCACCTGTCGGATCCACTCTTGTTCCACTGCAGCGCTTAATGTCTTAACTCATGTCCATTTCCCTTGCTTCACAATGGAAACCTCATGTTTGATCCGCACCCGCTCAATTGCAGCCTCTGCGTCGTGGGTAGCCCGTCTGCTCCAATGTACCCAAGGCTCCAACAATTCGGGCATTGTTTCGTCGTCGAGCATCCGCGATGCTGTGGGCGTGTGGTCTGGCGTCTTGCCGTCTCCTTCATCCGTGCTGTCGTCGTGCTGGTGGCTGCTGTCTTGTCGGTTGTCAAAATTGGTCTGGGTCTGATGTGACGCCGTCTGGTAGTTCGCAGTTGCTGCGATAATGTGAAGCCTCTGTCTTCGCGTTCGCCGCAGTCTGTTTCCTAGTTCAGTCGCGAGGGTCGAAGCTATTAGCATGGACCTGTCCGCCGTGAGTGTCTAGGCGCAAGAGTTTTCGAATTTTCACGGGCTTGAGCATTGACGGTCTGGGAGTGACTCTAGCTGTGTATGAGCTGCACTGTGAATGAGTCTCAGTAGTATTGGTGCATCGCTGCGCATGAGACTGGGGCCTTCTGAGGCCTCTTGAAACCTCCTGGGGCTTCGTGGGGCCTCCTGGAGCCTTTTGGGGCCTCCTGGGGCCTCTTGGAGCTTCCTATGGCCTCCTGAGGCCTGCTGGGGCCTCGTGTGGTCTCCTGGGGCCTCCAGGAGCATCGTGGAGCCTCCTGGGGCCTCCTGGGGAGGATTCGTGCCCCAGGAGAAGCCCAATGCATAGGAACAGACGTACATAAAACACTGCGGATTGGAGCCGCAGGAAAAGGGCAATCTATAGGACCACGCGAAGAAAACCAAGGGCTCGTACCCCAACGGAGACCCGATCTATACGAGCATACGTAAAACACTTAGGAGTGGATACACAGAAGAAGGACAATCTACAGAAACACGAATAAAACACCAAGGGCTCGTGCTCCAGAGGAGGCCCGAACTATAGGAATAAATGTAAAACACTGAGGATTGGAACAACCCTGGTTGCCTTCTGCTGCCTCCGGCTCTTGGGGTCTCGTGGGGGCTCCTGGGGCCTTTCTGGGGCCTTTCCGGGGCCTCCTGGTGCCTCATGGCGCTTCCTGTTTCCTCTTGTGGTCTCCTGTGGCCTCCTGGAGCATCCAGGGCGAGCATGAACGCCTCGCTCG